GGTAATATACCTAATCAATTTAAAAGTATCGATAGAACTCTCAATAATATGTACGATAAAAAGGAAAAGATCCACTCACCTGGAGTCCACGCTATGATTCTCTAGCGCACGCATCGAGGCGTCCTGAATGATCGGTCCCTGTGGCCAATTATCAAATCACATCTCAGAACTCTTATCCGTAGAATACGTAATTCACATAAAACACAACCTCAACGACATTCTAAAATAGTTTGAGACCCATTGACCACAAGTCAACCGTCGATCAAAGATCGACGGTAGGGTTTACAACCCTGTATAACTTGACCCGGAAGATCCGCATATCAGATTTCCGATCCGCATATCAGATTTCCAATCCGCAACTCCCAACGATCCACAATATGTTTCTAGAATAACATATTTAAATTTCATTACGATCCAACGGTCAGATCTCCGCCAATTGCTTAAAACAAGTGGTCGTGAACATTTATTTTACTAACTTACAAATCCAATTCAGGAAGATCCGTAAGTTGGATTCCCGATCCATAAATTCCTATGATCTTTAAATATTACGTATTATAATGTATCCAATTTTGGTGACGATCCAACGGTCGAATCATCAATTCCCATTTTTATCAAGTAACGTATCGTAATGAATTTAGGTTCCAACGATCAACCTATGTCATTCAAATGACAAAACTGAATTCAAGACATTCAACATAGCCTAAAAATAGCATTGGCGGCTCACTGGCCACGCGTCGCCGCGGGTGGCGGTCAACCGCCACGACTCGCCGGAAAATCCAACTATTTTCAAAAATTACCAAAATTTACAGAAAGAAAGATCTCAGTGAGTAGAGTAAACTTTATACCTGTGGCCAAGGCCAAATTGGCTTGGAAGTACCTCAATTTCACCAAAAACGTGCGGAACCCTAGGTTGCAGGTGTGTTCAATCCGACTCCAAAACAACTCCGTCGTCCAAACCATTGCTTGGGCTTTGTTCTAGGCCTCAAGAGGATGCTATGGATGGTGGAAATTGAAAGAAATTGCTTCGGGATTGGGTGATTCGAAGCCAAAGCCGCCGCACCCCTCCTTGCGAATTTCTTTATTTTCAAGGCCAAATCTCTCCAAATTTGAGATGGAATGGTTAGAGGGAAGATTATGGAGGAGTTCTCAAGAGGTTTATGAAAGCAATTCGTCGGAAAAATGGGTGAAAATCGTCGAAAAGGGAGGTGTTTGCCGACCGGGTTGAAAACGGGTTGCGGGTCAAGGGAACCCGACTTCCCCTCCTTCTCCTTCTCCCTCCTTTCCCTCCTGTTCTCTGCTCTGGTTGGTTAGTGTCCTCATCTCTCATCTCTCATCTTTCCCCGATTGGGCAACCTGCCCAAATCTCTTTTTTTTTTTTTTTTCTTTTCTTTCTTTTCTCCATTTCTGATTGGGCTTAACCTTAAATAACCAATTTCTGATTAGGGATTTAATTTAATTAACACTAAACCTTGAATAACCAATTTCGAACGTCTGTAACTATACCGTTATAATCCGGATTCGCAAACGGCTTTCGCCTATACGTTCGTACCAACGAGTACTACGAGGATATGCTAAAAGAATAAGTCCCACATCTCTCAAGTCGATGGTCAACGGAAGTCAAAGTCCTTGCCTCTAGGGCAATTTCGTAAATTCACGCTTTTAAAAATAAAATAAAAACGTAAAATTTGGAATGGGTTGTCACATTAAAATCTCACTATTATATTATATTTAACAAAAGTATTTATTATTTAACTAATGAAATTAGAACAGACAACTAACTCATCAATCATGTGTATCTTCAGCTCGTCGGGGATGGCTCTCCAAGACTCTCAATCCACATCACATTTGGTACGCACCATTGCTCCTACGTCAGACGAAAAGCTGGAGCGCTTATCTGAATTCACAACCCCTATTATTTCGTCCGCAGTGATTCGATAACGGCTCTTTCCATATGTGTGTCGGACCAGTACCGTAGCTCTTTTCTTCTTGTCTATCAACAAAAAATAATTTCATAATACTAAAGCTAAATAAAAACTTTATACAAAATGCAAAAATTTCAACGCAAACCTTTTCCAGAACCTTCTCCATCAATTGCCTTTTTGATGAACGTGCATCTTTGTTGCCCGTCATACCAACACTCAAAGAACCAACTGATTATAAGCACCACAATTGCAAAGCGTTTTCAAAATGAATTGTGAAGAATAAGGACAGCATAAGCGCATATTTATAGGAAGGTTTGGAACTTTGCGTGATGAAATAGTTGTCGAGCAAACACATGCAATAAATACCTTATTTATTTCTCTGATTCAGATGCACCAAATACATTGATCTATAATTGATGACCCTTGCGCGACAAAACGTTTGTCGCGCAAGACTTTGCACAGCGACATATTTGTCGCGCAAAGGTTGTAGCGACGAACTTATTGTAATTATAAGGTTTACATAAACATAGATATCTATGTTTACGTAAACTTTATAATTACCAACAAATTTTCAGTTATAATATATATTCTAAAAATAATTACTACCTTAAATAAATTGATATTATATTCCATTCAATTAATACATTGAATAATTAATACTTTAAATAAATTGATATTATATTCCATTCACTTAAACGCTAAATCATTAATACCTTAAATAAATTATATTTTATTCCATTCAATTAATACCTTAAATAAATTAGTATTATATTCCATTCAATTAATACCCTAAATAAATTGATATTATACTCCATTCAATTATTAAAATAACCAATCATAAATTAAAACATAATTAAGTCGAAATACATAATTTATAAAATGTACCTTAAATTTAAATATTGTCATACAAAAGATAAATTTAAAACTACTATTTCGATGGTCCTGGTCCATTCTACAAGACATTGTAACGCCACCTATTGTAACCTCCCTCCAACGCATCCTCCATCAACTTCAGCAACAGCTCTTTCGGCTCATCATCAAGAGTATACTTACACTGTTACACATATATGCAAATAATTAATTCTAACATATAACAAAAATTTTCACAAAATTAATTATTGATCCATCAACAGTATACTTACTAATAATTCATCCATCACCGCCTTCTTCGCATTCTCCGGCACATCTTTCCAAGAATGCCACTTTGCAGTAAGACAATTGTTCCCCATGGTTACAACAATCGAATGCGCGAATTGAAAATGATGTATCAAATCATTCGGGTTGGTGTTGGTCATGTTATCATCCTTGTTTTTATTCTCCATCTCAGGACGAACAAAATTGTGAAGAAAAACGAGAGGAGAAGGGTATATTTATAGGAAGGATAGGGTCTTTGCGCGACGAAGGCTTTGTCACGCAAAGACTTCACTAAATAGTTTCAGATTATGTTGATTCAAATGCATTGAATGCTCTGAAAAGTGAAAACTGACTGTAACTTGCGCAACAAAGCCTTTGTCACGCAAGTGTTCCTCAGTTTCCAAAGTGCTGAATGTCTTGCCCAAGAAAATGAACAAGCTTTGCACAACGAAGCCTTTGTCGCGCAAAGATGCAACATGCTTTGCGCAACGAACACTTTTTCATGCAAAGATATAGCAGGAAAATCTTCATTGCGTGTTAGGTTTCTCACCCCCCAAAAAAAAAAAAAAAAAAAAAAAACCCGTGTTTTTCTTGTTAGCTTTGCGCGGCGAACATGTTTTCTATCATCGTGCACAATGTTTTGCTCGACTAAGTTCTCCGTCGTGCAAAGTTCACTATCATTGCGTGATGAAAGTTTGTTCCTCGTTGCGCAAGGTACCATTGTGCGACGGAATTTTCTTTTTCGTGCAAAATTCTGTCACGCAAGTAGTTTTTTGTACTAATGAGTCAAAGTTTGTAGTTTAGCCGGCCAGATTCCTTTCCCCAATATCATTCTATAATGAAAATGTTTATATTGACAATCTTATCATGATCTAGACTAGTTGCCGGTAATAAAATCTTACCCCTAGTATACGTGTCGTTGTTTCCATACCGTCTTCTAATTGTACCATTTTTAGTTGGATTGAAAATGAATGAGTTTTTTTTACCTTTGATAATGCATCTCTACCATCTAAGTTGGCCACAATTTTTCTTTCTTCTTTAACATACTTTGAAAATAGTGTTTTTGTTGTAGGCCTATTTGATTGAATGATTTAGGGTTTAGAGAGAGAGAGAGAGAGAGAGGAGCCGGCCACAATATAAGAGAAGAGAGATTGATTTGATTGTGAGATGCATTTGATTCACCCTATTGTACCTATATTTATAGTAGTAGAATAGGAAAAAACCTTTCCCTTTAGGATTACAACATTTAATAGGTAATCTAGTCCTAATAGGAATATAAGATATTTTCCCATATCTCCTAGGATTTACACAATCACATTCCTGTTCTAAATATGACTGCAACAATTTTAATAATTTTTCTTATTTTCTTTAGCATACTTGTGAGTGAGAAGTTTTATGATCGATTCTTGCTAAAAACAAATTTGAACCACATTATTACTCATGTGAATTCATCCGCTTCAGGTGAGGCTTGACTCACTCCCTATACCCCTTTATTGTGGATAATACGGATTGTTAAAAACAATTAAATAATAAATAAATAATAAATAATAAATAAAAAACACTGACCCTCTAGAGCAAATGATGGCTACCTTATAAATTGGTAGTGTTCCTTCGTTATATTAATTCGTTTAACCAAAAGTTTTTTAAAGTTTCCTCGCTACTTTGTCACTTTGTACTATTGTCTAGTGGTATTCTTTCACTTATAAGTGAGAAGTCTCAAGTTTGATTCTTGCCAAAGGTGAAGTTGAACCACATTATCACCGCAAGCCCATTGTAAGGCTCAGCACACTCCCCCACCCACTGTAGATACTATCGTTTGTTTAAAAAAAATAAAAATAAATCGTTTGTTAAAAAAAATCTTGAAACAATCTTGAAACGTTACCCTAATAATCAACTGGATAATCTCAATTTCTGGCAGGCACGTAAATGAAAAACACAATGCAATTCACTAAGTTCTGAATTAATATATAAAAATGTTGATTCCAGTCTACAACATAATTATGCACCCTCCTCTATCTTCTCATCCTCCTCTAAAATTACACTCAACCTAGTCGTATAGCTACCACTTCCACCACCACGGTTATAGCGGCGCCCTCCTCTCCTTCTTCTCCTCACAACTTCAGGACGTCTGACTCCATCGCTTATGCCGCTGTCACCACCTCCCATGGCCGCCATCCGACTGGTCTTCACATTCTTCTTAATAGTAAACACAACTGGACTGGCACTTTTACACCCGCCTCCATATCTCCGTCTCATATTTGTAAGCGCCAAACTTGCCCTAACGGCCAAAGCAGCCATCTGCTCCGGTCGAAGTGGTTTTTTCAGCCAACTCAACGGTAACACAAAGTAAAGCTGACCCAACTGAAGCACTTGATCCCCATCAACAGCACCAAAAAAGCCTCCAAACTCCATGTCATCTGAGTCGCATATGAAATGCATGGGACTGACGTTCATCATCTGCAATGCATGTGAGACCTTAATCGGTCTCGAGAATTCTTGAAGCTGCCCGTTTTGAAGAATCAGCTTGGCTGTAGCTACAGAGATTGATTCGCATGAGTTGCAAATCCCCATTAGGCAATGATTCGTTTGGCTACGGCGATTTTTGGAGGTTAATTAAAGGAAGATAAAAAACGCGTTTGTTTTGTTTATTAATTAAATAATTAATTCTTTATAATCAACGATAAAGTTATGGGACATATATTGTAATATTTTTTTGTCAACTATTCTTTCAAATTTGGATCCGTCCCCATTTTCAACACTGTATTTTGGATACGATGGAAATATGTTTTACTTTTTGGGCATTTAGCTTAATTTAATTGTGAGCACACATTAAACATGATTCAATTGGTTCAAAGAGGTGACTTAATTATTTGTAGCACACAGCGGACTAGACGTGTCCATTAGTTGTTATTTATTTGGTGCTACATACACCAAATTCAAGCATCAAATGGTGTAGAACCATTTAATATTTTTATTAAATTATTAAAATTTAACTTGAATTAAAGTTCAAATATGATTGGTGCCACAATATTTAGTGCACAAATTTCATATAAAAGATGATAATCTAGTTTTGACAAGTATGTTACGGTGATGGTTAAAGTGTAAAATTTGCTTAAGTGTGGCTGAATATTCTTTCTTCGTTTGTGTTTGTTTGTTTTTGGTTCATCTGCAGCCAAGTCACTTCGATGAACTTGTTTAACCTCACACTTGGAACATTGCTCAAATTTGGGTTAATTTCACTCCCATTTTAGGATATATTGTGTTTTCACGAAAACTCTTCACTTTGAGAAATTATGTTAACACCTCTAAAATTTCAGTCACTTTCGAATAACTCATTTTGCAAAAATCCATCTAAAGTTGTTGATATCAGCATGAAAAAAACTTCATAAGGACAAATTTTACTATTACATAAAGGTGCAATTTTTTTTTTATGTCACATACAACTAAGTGGTCCGAAAAATCTACAATTAGATCGTACATGTTAGAATCTAATGGATCTTGCATAAACCTGATAGCACTGAGTGTGACATAAAACTGTAGTGAGACTCCTTATAATGAACTATTTTATATTAGCATAATGCTGAATGAAGCCCACTTTAAATTTTAATATTAAGAGTTGGTTTGGTATTGCTGTGCTTTGAAAAAAAACTGATTCTACTGTGCTGTGAGAATAAACAGCTGTGAAATAAAGTAGCAGAGTGTTTGGTAAGCTTTTTTGTAAAAGTGCTTTCGAAAAAAAAAGCAGTATTATAGTGTTTGATAAACTTTTATGTAAAACAGATGTGAAAAAAAGCTGGTTTTTCAAAGCTGGGTTTTGCAGCTTTGTGTTTTTGGCTTTTTTTTCATCCAAAACTATGAAAAAAAGCTGAAGCTGAATGTTTACCAAACATTTAGCCACTTTTTTTCAGAATCACCTCAGTACCAAACTAGGGCTAAATGACTTATGTACCCTATTGTGTATTGACAATTTTGAACTTAATACGTTTCAAAAAAATTAAATACATCTCAAATCACTTTTAAGGTATTATTTATCTTTTCAACTATCAAAACCTCTCACAACCTTCATTGTTGAATAAAACCCTAACCAATGAAACTACAAACACATTGGTTGAGAAATTATTTTTGATGAATGGAACACAAAATCGATGTTTTAAAAACTTCACATTTTTGTATTGTTTTTGTGATTTCAGCAACATTGATAATTATTTGCCTATTTTTGCTACGTTAGTTAAGTATCTCCCTTCTTATTCATCTTTTAGGGATTACTTTTTTTTTTGTTAGGTGCCTCCCAGTTGTCATTTTTTTTAGCAACAACGTCTGTTGCTCTAAAATTGCTAGAAGCCTCTTTCGCTTGCAGTTCTCATACCATAGTAAATTTGGTTGTCATTAGAAGGGATTTACTCGAGTTAACGGTGGAATTGAAAATAAGGAATAGGGTATGCACATCCAGTATAATATGCATAATTAAAGAAAATTTGCCAAAATTAAAAGCTTTATTGACTAAAGCATAGGATTAGTGAAACTACATAATGTTGAATGGCCACATACGGTGTATTGATTAAATCCCAGTTGCCATTTTTTGTCAAAATTAAAAGTTTTATTGATTAAAGCATAAGACTAACAGAGAACAAGTGACACACCCTGACTGGAGTCGAGGTGTGATGGCCGTCACCTGAAGGTGATGTAACCAAAAGTGTAAGTGATATAAAAATATGAATAAATTAAAATCAAAACTATAACTTATTTTAAACTAATAAAGTGAGTATGCAGTTGTAACATCCCACATCGCCCAGGGGAGTGATCCTTATATGTATATTGTCATCCCTACTAGCACGAGGTCTTTTGGAAGCTCACTAGCTTCGGGTTCCATGGGAACTCCGAAGCTAAGCGAGTAGCGCGCGAGAGCACTTCCATGATGGGTGACCCGCTGAGAAGTTCTCGTGTGACTTCCCAGAAACAAAACCCTAAGGGAGTAGTTGGGGCTCAAAGCCGACAACATTGTGCTATAGTAGAGTTAAGCCTTGGATGCGATGGAGCCGAGTCGAGATGTGACAATTTGGTATCAGAGCCACTCTGCCGTTCGGTGCGAATGTGCCGACTAAGACGTCGGGCCCCTAACGAGGGTGGATTGTAACATCCCACATCACCCAAGGGAGTGATCCTTATATGTATATTCCCATCCCTACCTAGCACGAGGTCTTTTGGAAGCTCACTGGCTTCGAGTTCCATGGGAACTCCAAAGTTAAGCGAGTAGCGCGCGAAAGCACTCCCATGATGGGTGACCCACTGGGAAGTTCTCGTGTAAGTTCCTAGAAACAAAATCGTGGTGGCATGGTCTAGGCCCAAAGCGGACAATATCGTGCTACGATGGTAGTGGTGGGTAGAACTAGGGGTGGGCAAACGGGTACATAAATCGCGAGTCGGGGCGGGTAATCAAGGTTTGGGGCGGGTACGGGTCAGCTCTTAATTTTGCAAAACAGAAACTGGGCGGCGCGGGGCGGGCCTTTGACATTTTCGGTTTGGGCAGGTTCCAAAAGTATAGAAAAATGGGTACCTGGACCGGCCCGTTTGTAATTAGAATGGATGGATGAGATTGAAGATCATCTCTCCATCCAATCTTAATCATTGGTTTTAGGTTTCCTCGTCCTCGACTTATCGAATTCGACTCTGTCACTCTGTCACTCGAGTTTCTCTCGCTGTCTGTGCATCGTCCCCTCCCCTCCACCACCCCGACATCACGACGGTCCTGACAACCACCACGACAGCCTAGCAACTTCGACGGCATCTAAGACTTACAGAACCTAGTCACCCCACCACCCATCTTCTTGATTTGTCACCTCTTTCTCAGTCTCACAGGTAAAAACCAACCTCTGTGTATATAATTGATCTGCATTTCGAGTTCTCTGCTTTATTTCGGGTGTTAAATTCCTAAATATTATGTGGGTCGAGTTTGATTTAGTTGTTTTTCGGCATTTCGTTGTAATCTGAATCACATGTTGTGTTTTTAGGTCAATTTTATGTGATTAGTGTCATCATTTTAAGGATTGGAATCTGATACTCAGTCTCACAGGTAAAAACCAAACCCCCATTTTCTTCTATTCTTTATCAAATTTTGTTTTAAAATCAATTGAATTAAACCAGTATTTGTATGCAAAATGTGGAATTCGTATTACAAGTTTTAATAGGAATGTAAGATGTTAGAAATGTAAGTTGTTACCATTGTTATTCAACTTTTTGTTAGGAATGTAAGCTGTTACCACAGAGATGATAATGTGGAGGGTCTGATTCTTTCTAAATAGAAATGTAAGTTGTGTTATTTCTAGGGTGTTAATTGTGCTGTTTCTTTTCATCCTTTTTTCTGGTAGTTTATTAGTCTTGGTTGATGATGCCTTGGGGCATCAACAGTATTATTTCCTAGACAAGTTTGCAACCTTAATGAAAAAAATGTGCAAGAAAGACAGAACAAGGCATCTTCTTACTTAATAGTACCATAAGTCTATGTTAATTACAGTGAGATTATGAGAAGGGTGCCCCATTGACTAATTCATTTTAGGTACCATAAGTCTATGTTGATTACAGTGAGATTCTAATCATTCTTCTTATTCTGGGTTTTTTCAGTTTGCCACATCTTTAACATCAGATGATATTGATCAAATACAAAAGTTTCTTGACACTGCTATGAGTTCAAGGTATTCACTCCATTCTTTTGACTTTTCAAGGGGTAAATGGATATGAAAATTAGATATAGTAATTCGAATTTGTGGTTCTGTCATATATTTGCTAAATACATTATTTGCTAAATATATCTGTGCAGCTGCTGTGTGATCTGTGTTCAAACTGTACTATTTGGATGTGTTGTGCAAACTGTACTTGTGTCATTGATATCATTGTTTGCAACATACAATTGAGCTATACAGTGGCTCTATCGATTATATCACCACCCTGCCCCATCTGTTACTATGTCTCCCTCTTTCTCTCGCATTTGGATTAGATGTGATCTGTGTAGGGAGTAGTGCAAAATCTACACTGCACTGATATCTTATAGTTAGGAATCAGGGAATGAACTTGAATCTATTGCAAATGTGAATTTGCTAGGATCGAATTTGACTTTGTGCAAAACTGCAAATGTTTTTTTTTTAATATATAGAAAAATAAAAAAAAATGACAAGGACACGTGGACTGGCCCATTTCAAATGGGTCGGGTTAGGTCCGATTCCTATATTGGACTCTGCTATCGCCAGCCCCGCCTGTCTCCTTTGCACCTAGGTCTGGTCCGGTCCCTTCAAAATTAGGCCCGAGCCAGCCCATGCCCATGCCCACCCCTAGGTAAAACCCAAAGAGTACAAATATTCAAAATATAGATAACAAAATAGTGCAATCAGAACTAATTATAGTGCTTAAAACACAACCAAGAAAGGCTCCCTACATTTATTTTTGATATGTCAGAATCCGCCGGAGTTTCCTCGTATGCCACAGAGAATTTAGCTATCTAAGACCTGGAGGGGCGAAAAACAAAAGAGTGAGTGGGCACAAAAACAAAGGTTTATAAAACACATTTATTTTCCAAACACA